TTTGGGTAACTGATCAACACGCCAGATCCACACAATCTGCTATTTTTAGTCTCCACAGATAGGAGACCCACTTCGAGTGTACATTGGCGGATTCGGCGGCGGCCAGCTCGAGAGGACCGACGCTCCGTGGCTGACCGTGCCATGCAGATGCCTGTTCGTAACTAACCGAGTGGTGGCCTGCGTTTTCTCCTCTCCCGTAACTAACAGAGTGGTGGCATGCATTTTTTTCTTCTCCCATAACTAACTAGGTTAGTTTAGAATAATAACGATAATTAAGAAAATATTCTTTTTTAGATTTTGCTTACTAACAGATTGAAAAGAAATCTATATATGAAATAAACTTTCAAGTAAAATTTAAAACTTTCTATCGAAAAATTAAGGGATTTGCTAGATGTCTATTAGATTAATGGGTAGGCCAAATTAAATCCCAATAATACCATATTGGAAATTTAGTGCTATGGGTAATAATACCATATTGAAAATTTAAGTGAAGAGATCTTAATTTAAATATGGAGCTAGTGGAGAATCTCTGTTCACCGGTTGAGATGGTGGATGGACAGCCACACTCGTGCACAGAGCTGTGTATTAACTCGGGTTAATCGCACGGATTGAATTCTCCGAATGTAACTCTCACATGTGCTACAAATCCTCTGCGATTAATCGCGTGGATGCTCTCCCTCTCTTGTTCTGTATCGGAAGATGATTAATTCTGGTGTATTAACTCGGGTTAATCGCGCGGATTGAATTCTCCGAACATAACTCTCGCATGCGCTACAAATCTTCCGCGATTAATCGCATTAACCCGGGTTAATCGTGCAGATTGAATTCTCCGAATGTAACTCTCGCATGCGCTACAAATCCTCCGCTAACGGGGTTAATCGCGCGAATTGAATTCTCCGAACGTAATTCTCGCATGAGGTACAAATCCTCCATGATTAATCGCATTATATTCTAGTGTATTAACTTGGGTTAATCGTGTGGATTGAATTCTCCGAACGTAACTCTCGCATGCGCTACAAATCCTCCGCGATTAATCGCATTAACTCGGGTTAATCGTGCGGATTGAATTCTCCGAAAGTAACTCTCGCATGCTCTACAAATCCTCCGCTAACGGGGTTAATTGCGCGGATTGAATTCTCCAAACGTAACTCTCGCATGCGCTACAAATCCTCCGCGATTAATCGCATTAACTCGGGTTAATCGTGCGGATTGAATTCTCCGAATTTAACTCTCGCATGCGCTACAAATCCTTTGCTAACGGGATGAACAGACACAACGCTCGCACTTATGTTCTTCCTCTCTCGCACTTTCTTTCCGGCTGTTCTCCTATTTCGGAACTCCGTCTGCTTACGTACTTGCACGGGTAGGCAGGCAATCAAGTCTTTGGGGAGCGTCTCGGTGCAACTGCTCATGTTCTGCTTCGACTTCTTCCTCTACATCGCGATGGCTTCCACTGGAAATGGCGCACCAGGAGCTGGAGGGAACGGCGATGCTCCAGGAGACAACACTAACGGAGGCAATACAAATGACTCAACCTCCTTGCACCGTTTTCTGGGTATATGGTTCTATCTCTAATTGATGTTCTTCATGTTACTTATATATTAATCATGCTATCCTTAGGATTGCAATCCTAGGTGAATGTTGATGATGCTTATGCTTATGTTATGAAAAACATGCCCATATTTCTATTTAGTCACACCACTAGATTATTACTATTGTGAATGTTATGTTTATTATTGTGTTATTTTAGATTAAAATATACCGAATTATGATCAAATTTACAAAATGCCAGCCTGAGGGATCGACATCTCAGCGAGCGAGATTGGTGAATTGAAAAGTGGGGACGAAGCTGATCATGGACGTCGGCGGCAGGTAGAGGCGCCGCTGCTGGAGAAGAAGGGCAGCACCGGCATCGGCGATGGGTACTGCACTGAGAGGTGCCCGGGTGCGGCGTCGATCGGCGTAAGGCCGCGAGCTCCGGCATCCCCTACAGGAGCTTCCTCTTTGTCTGGATCATCACGCTCTGCACAGGTAACCACCACTTCATTCTTCTCTCTTCCACTCACCCACATGCATCATCAATCGCGCGCATCTGCACCTGATTCGCTTCCCCCTCCTCTTAATTGATGTCCACATTTTTATCGAGTTATATCATGAGTTTGTGTTTAATTTCTCCTATATATGTTCTCCATTGATCATGCCACCTTGGAGTGCTATATAGAAGTATATACATACTGATGCAGCCCCTTCAATTAATCAAAATCTTTAAATTAACAATTACTACTAATTTTATGAATTGCTTTGAGATTCGTGCACCTCAACCAACTATTGAATTTGGGCATGACACTAAGGGCTTTTTTGGAGAGATTCTGAATAGCTTCTCTCATAATCAGAAGCTCTCCAAACAATTTAGCTTTTCATTGATATTCTAATAAGTTGTAGTTGTATAATCTTAGGCAATAAAATAGAAGTCAGAAGCTAGAAAATCTAACTTTTTTATATTCTAAAAAGACTCTTCAAATTTAATCTCTGGCCAGATCTAGGAGCGGAGGGAGAGAAGGGGAGCCGCCGCCGTCGCCCCGTCCATGCGGCCGCCGTCGCACCCCCTCCTCTGGCCAGATCTAGGAGTGGGGAAGGAGAGGGGGGAGCCGCCACCGCGTCCGCGCCGCCGCCGTCGCTCCCCTCCTCCGGTTGGATTGGGAGGGAGGGAGGGGAGGGGAGGAGAGTGACGGGCCGGTGAGAGAGAGAGAGAGAGAGAGTTGAGAGGGAAATGAGTGGTGGCCGGTGGGGAGGGGTGGAGGAGAAGATAAGGAAGACTTAAAGATATTTTTTTGGGTAGGTATGATTTTTGCAGGCGGACCACATAAGGTTCCACCTGCGAAAATCAATTTTTCCAAGCGGACCACTTAAGAGGTCCGCCTGCGAAAATAAAGTTATTTTTCGCAGGCAGACCTCCACCTGGAGGATTTTCGCAGGCGGATGACGAAAATCCACCCCGTTTTATATTTTCGTAGGCGGATCATATTTGGTTCCGAGGGTCATACCCGCTTTGAAAAATAAAAGGCCAATTTCACTAAAAATCCTTTTTTAAGTAGTGGTGGCTATTGATTAATTGTAGCTTAATCAAATACGTGAAATTTCTATATGTTACACTAAACCATGATTGCAAAAGATGGCTAAAGAAATGTTAGTATACATGAGAACATTCTTCAATTGATCAGCATACAAAGTGATCTACTGCTAACTGACGAAAACGAGACAACATCTAATTAAGCCACTAATTAAACATTATTACTTTTGACCAAGGTAAAATAATGAGTATAGTACTGGTTTCGTTTACACAAAGATCGAGGGTTGCACTCTACGCGTACCTGTTTGTTAAGTAGTTAATCATGAGTGATGGAGAAGCCGGGAGTTAATCATATTTGCCACACAAAATCAATATGCAATTATTGAATTCGTACGGACAAGCTGACGATGTAGACTGATAAATAAAATCCTGTATGCATGCATGCATGCGCCATTTTGTACTCCAGTAATCTTTTGTTTGGCATGCATGTCAGCATGTGTGCGTGGTTCAGGCAATGTGATATATAGTGAATTGATTGGCAATGTGAGAGTGAGTTGATTGAAGTAGCAACAACCTGTCGGGCCTAGCGGCCGGCCAGCCTGACTGACTGACGTAGGAGCTGACGATGCCATTGCACATTGTTGGTGCTACTGATGCTCAATTAGATTAGATATCCTCATTAATAATAAGCTATTAGTAGTGTTTTACTGTTTGATGATAACTTATTTCTAGCCGTACTGGGCTAAAATGTATAGTAATACTGAAATTAAGGAACTGCTGGATTCAAGCAGCAGCTGGTTGACTTTGGTTACCAGCACACAATTAACCTAAAATTTAATTAACTGTTGGTTCTGGCCGATTAATTAGTTATCTTACGGTTGCAGCAGCAATGGTGTTACCATTAATTTTTTTAATTTCTACGTAATCTATCGGTGGGATGTACGATGGATTAATAAACTTCAACTACCTTTTAAAAAAAAAACTTCAACTAAATAATTGTTATTACTGTCATGTACTCTGACTTATTTTTCGAGGGGACAGGCAGGGAGTTCCTACAATTTAATCCAGTTTATAAGGAAAACCGGACCAAAAAATTTTACAACAGCACGGTTAATTTATGAAAAACTGGCGAAAACCCCGGCATTGACATACTGAACCTAAAAACTAAGAACAGCAGTCCGACAAGGGATAAAACTCCTAAAATGAATCCTTCAAGAAGGATACGCCGACAGAACAACGACATCGTCCGATCCTAACGAATCTAAGGTTTTCATCCGGAGAAATCTCTTGAAGTGGGGTTTGAACCAGGGCTCCAATAGCAACGCCTTCAAGAAGGTAAACGGCACCCAAGGGTGTCGCCGTTGCTAGCATCGGCAAGTTGAGCAAGGCTTTCGCCTCGGAGTCCCATCCAAACATAGCATCCGCGACGGAAGCCACCAAATACCACCTGCACACCGGGTACTGTTTAAGAAGATTGACAGCAACTGCAGCAGGTGGCAATTCCAACTTGGATTGGTGCAGCTATACATGATGTAACATGGGAAAGTTTATTCGTCGCTCGAGGAAACACTCCTTTAATTTTTTATACTATTTGAAAAATCATAAAAATATTAATAAAAAGTATATCAATAATACAATATATTGATAAATAAAATACAAGCTCAAATTTAACTAGAAATGAAAATAATAAATTAACTCAGAATAAAACATGTCATTCATAGTTAAATTTATTTTTTAAGTTATATATATTAAATTGAATTTACATATTTGTCGAGTGACACCCCCACATATTTAATTTATTTTATTATCTTTTTTATTAAATTTATTAATAATTTTTTAAGATGACATAAACCGACATACACAAGTAAAGAAACATAGCCTCCAACAACAAAAGTCCATCATATAATCATATACTATTTGGACAACGGAAAGCCTGTTTCGACTTGTCTTCTCCCCTCCGGCTTTTCTGTTCCATGCGTTTTCTGCTCTGCAACTGCAAGCAAGTCCCTCTGCTAGCTGCGAGCCTCACGTGCCCATTCACTCTCTTTATTTATTGCTGATTCCCGATCGATCGATCGATCGATCGATCAGCAGGCAATAGTTAATCGATCTCAACAACTACCCATCAGTTATTCAATACAATACAGCCATTCAGACAGAAGCAAGGTCTATCGAGTCAGAGAGATCGACATCTCGGCGAGCGAGATCGGTGAATTGATGGGTGATCATGGACGCCGGCGGCAGGCGGCGGCGCCGCTGCTGGAGAAGAAGGGCAGCACCGGCACCGGCGTGGACGATGGGTACTGCATTGAGGGGTGCCCCGGGTGCGTCGTCGACCGGCGGAAGGCCGCGAGCTACGGCATCCCCTACGGGAGCTTCCTCTTTGTCTGGATTGTCACGCTCTGCACAGGTAATAGCCTCCCTTCATTTATTCTCTCTTCCACCCACACCCACATGCATCATCAATCGCGCTCTCATCGATCTGCAGCTGCAGCTGATTCCGTTCCTCTCTTTCTCATTTGATCTCCATATTTTAGCGAGTTTTATCATGATGAGTCTGCTTAATTAGTTTCTCCTATATATATATATATATATATATATATATATTCTCCATTGATCATGCAGCCACATTGGAGAGCTATATATATACATACAGTCCCTTCAATTAATCAAAATCATCAAATTAATAATTACTAATTTTATGATTTGTTTTAAGATTTGTGCACCTCATACAACCGTTCAATTTTAGCAATGGCTTATTCGAGGGGTTTCTGAATAGCTGTAGCTTCTTATGATAATCAGAAGCTCTTCAAGCGATTTAACTTTTCGTTCGTACTCTAATAAGTTATAGTTGTTGAATTAACAAAATAAAATAGAAGTAGAAAGCTAGAAAACCAATTTTTTAGCTCTAAGAAATAACTACCAAGGCTGTGTGTTTAGTTACCTTCATACTTTTAACTTTTCTATCAAATCAAATATTTGAACACATGCATGGAGCATTAAATATGGAAGAAAAAAACCAATTGTACAGTTTGCATGTAAATTGTGAGACGAATATTTTGAGCCTAATTACGCCATGATTTAACAATTTGATGCTATAGTAAACATTTGCTAATAATATATTAATTAGGCTTAATAGATTTGTCTCGCAGTTTATAGGCGGAATCTGTAATTTGTTTTGTTATTAGTGTATACTTAAAAAAATTTTGGACGGGGAACTAAACGCAGCCCAAATTAGCTGATTATTACTACTCCGTCCCATAATATAACAACTTTTTGTTGTCTAGATTTATAGCTAAAAATGCTTATATTTTGGGACGGAGGGATACAATTTTAAGCTTTTTTTTTTACAGTCCATAGATTAGATTTCTAGAGGTTGAAACTTGAAACCGCCAATGGCAGGGTGCGTGTGCATGTGTAGCAGACGGTCGCACACTCGCACATGACCTGACCTGCTGAGATTAAATTCGTGAGCTTAATGGTTCATTCATTGCTTTTGTACTACCTATATTCTCGTTTCTTGATTAGCACAAGCCAACCATTGCTCCATGCATGATTAGCGCTTACTCAGACTTCACTTCATCCACGTTACCTTCTGTAAATTTGTTTTTTACTTTATTAACCTGGCCGTATGGTTTTTCATAATGTCTCCCATATTTTGAAAGAAAAACAAGATAGCGGCTCATACGATATTTCAATTTGTATTATACTCGTATAAGTAGCTAACGGTAATAGAGACAGTAGCGGTGGAGTTCACGCGGCCGCCCAACCCGTTCGGGAAGTGCCTCCGCCGTTGGCTGCATGTGTGCAACAATAAAATGAGTTGTTTAATAAACTTGCTATATTAAGGGAATTGTATACTAGTTTATATAACCGGCTCATGATCGAATTGAGAACAAAAGCATATCCAGTGGAGTTAAAATTTTTAAGTAGACCATCAAGTTTTAAGTGAAGTCTACGTAAGATGATATCTCTACTACTTAAAAAGCGAACCGGTTCGTTTGCACTCTTTTCGTACGTCCTTACATGTGTGTATAAGCACTATCTCTTTAAGAAAAACCCACTAACATGTGATTTCTCACTGCCCACACCCTAAAGCCTGTTCGCCCATAATTTCAATCATGTTCTATGATAAAGGTGCACTTTTCGATCGGTTAAACACCATGACTTTTACAAAAGTCTCCTATATAGAAATTCCATGATATACTTTCTATAATCTGTTTTATCACTTTTTAACATCTAATTATTGGTTTGTGCCCTTAAATAATTATTTTCACTTTTCGTGGTATAATGTGAGTTTATAGCATTGCATGCTAATTCCAAATATGCATGGAGCTATATGTGACGTGGAGCTCCAACCACCCAAGTCGGATAGAGTTTTTGTCGCTTTGTCCAACTGTTGGTGGCTCATGTGAACTTTGGCGTGTATCACGTACTCCCTCCGTATTTTAATGTATGACGTCATTGACTTTTTAACCAACGTTTGATCACTCGTTTTATTCAAATTTTGTTTGAAAATATGAAAATATTTATGTCATGCTTAAAGAATAATTGTTGATGAATCAAGTCACAATAAAATAAATAATAATTACGTATTTTTTTAAATAAGACGAATGATCAAACGTTCGATAAAAAGTCAACAGTGTTATACATTAAAATATGGAGATGGTACAATATACGAACCCATATGTACATGCATGTGTTAAGTTCGCTTTCATCAAATATTTACTATTGCTCGATCTCTGAATATTCTGAGTCTTGAAATCCACAGAAAATATTTGAAGATGATTGTGACGGTACTGTTTGTACATGTCTGGGAGACGTAAGGATCTGAATGTGTTCGTGAAAAAGTTGAAGGAAAAAAATTCAAGTCTAAAAAATATGTTCAAAATTCGAACATACAATAGGAACATACACAGATTTGAGTATAGTGTACATATATAGGCATAAGTAGTACAAATTGAAACACGAAAAATGCCAAGTCCAAAAAAAATATTAAATTTGAATATTTAGAAAGTTTCAGAACGAGTATGAAGTTCGGAATATGAAAAATGCACAAATTCCACATCAAGCCAGTGTGAGGTTGCAAATCTTTTGTTTTCTTCTCATGCTGATGTGCTGATGGAACATAATAAATGAGTTGCAAATCTGTTGTTCTCTTGTGCTGATGTGCTAGTAATCCTAATACTAGTATTAATAAATGACTTCCACTTCCACCCACCTCCATGGAGCTAAACATATTCTTGTGTGTGGCAATGCGCGCCGTGGAATTTTAGCGACGACCACGGCTTCGTTTTGGCTTCCTCTTCCACCTCTTCTTGTTGCTGGCTTTCCTTGTTGGGTTGGCCATTGGCCCTCTCCTTGTTTGCCTCCTCCTCTCCTCTCAATCTCAGGCCCTCCCTCCCTCGCCGCCGAGCTTCTCCTCTTTTGCCGATTGATAGCCGAGGGTGAGGGTGAGCCTCCCTGTTTGTTCTGGGGGGGTCGCATTGCCCTTGCCGGGCGGGAGAGGAGGGGATGGAAGAGGAGGTGCCGTTGCTCAAGGGGGACTACCACCAAGGTTGCCCCGGCTGTGCCTACGATCGCAAGAAGGAGGTCTACAGGGGATTGCCTTACAAGGAATTCCTCTATCTCTGGATGATCTGCCTCACCGCCGGTATGTATGGAACATTCCCCCCCTTTTTGCAACCTGTGACATTCAGGGTGTGTTTGGATCCTTGGCTAAAGATTTTCTAACCAGTCTTGGTTTTTGGTACAAGTAAAATATCCTAGCTTTCAGGAGCAAGCTAGCCTTGATGGGCTAGAAAAACCTTGCTCAGCAGGACAGCCGAATTGGCTCTCTCTCTCTCTCTCTCTCTCTCTCTCTCTCTCTCTCTCTCTCAACAGCAACAAGCGCATGCGTGAGGGGAAAAAAAAATCTGGCAACTGTTTCTCATTGTGGGGTAAAAGCAAGGAAACCAAATGTGGTGCTTGGGCAAGAGCAGCATAGCTGAAATGAGCTAGTTTGCACATTTCAGCTATAGCTCAACCTAGCTGAACATCCAAACGTACCCTCATTATGCAGAAAGTTCTTGTTTTTTTTTTTAACTCATGGTTTTCTAGGATTTTTCTTTTTCTAGTGTAGTACGAATGAGTTGACTGAATATCGCCAACAAAGAGAATCTTGGTACCACGTAGGAACATGACAGCATGTCAACATTGGGGATCTTGGTACCTGTAGGAACATGTCTTCTTTCTTGCAAATGCTACATGTTACTGCAATGTCCATGTGCAGTTCCATATGGGTTTGGTCGGTGTTCAGTCATGTCAATGATTCCTGTTCCTGTGGGGAAATCGCTGATTCTCTATAATAGTAGATTAACAGGACCAAGTTAGTTAAGCCAATTGCCTCAACAAGATTTCTATAATAGGGGGATGTTGACATGTTGTTGCTGTTTTTACTACGCACTTCTCCATATTTGCTTTCAGTGCTGCTTACAACCGTTAATTACAATGTGCTGTGATGCTCCGACTCATACTACACACGACGACCGTTTACACCGGTCATTACGTTGTCCATGGTGTTACAGTTGCAAACTAGTAATGCCACGTCCTGGTTCATGTGATGTGGGTTAGCTGGGGGGTCTATTATGTTAACTAGAAAATTTATTGTTTGAGGGAGATCACTGTGCGAACAATATTAGATACGCAATTAATTCCTGTTATGTCATAGTGCCAGTCATCCAAACCTTATTGGGCACATAATTAATTCCTGTAATCTTTCATTGCACCAATAGCAACTTCATTGATAGGATCTCCAATGATGGGACTGTAGGTGATGCTGATTCAGACCTTGTAGATCTTTAGGTTCTTCGTTGTGTTTGTGATCTTTTTTACCTACCTCGGTTGCTGAAATTTTCACAACACTACATGGCATCTATGTCAACAGTCAGCAGAAGCATACACTGAAATGTCCTACTCCGTGTTAGATACATAGCATTCAGTCTGCAATGCAATATTGATATGCGAAAATGCCTTTTAACTGATTTTCCTTAATGATGTAATGTTTTTTAACAGATTTTTTTATACTGCTCCAAATCGTGATAAAGGTCATTTATGTAAACTGTAAACTTGGAACTGATGCATGACTTGTTTCCCACGTGTCCTATATAAGCATATGTAATTGTGCATATTTTTAGGGGTGAAGTTCCATGTGCTGTTCTGGTGTTCTGCATGAGCTCCTTCATCATGGTTGCATTGAACAGTAGTCTTTCTCTTTTACAATAGTGGAACATGAAATTAATTTGTCTACTTGAACACTGTGTCCTATCTGATGTTGAGGATACTGAGTGCTATCTTGTTTCCTTGAGAGTATTGCTTAAAAAAATGTGAGTGGAACAGTCAAAATCTGAGAAGCATCTAGCACTTCAAATTTTCTTCATTTCAAGTGCAACTAGCTCTATATCTAGCCATAATACCTTCTTTTATTATCCCTGTTCTCACCAGCATCATGTAGTTGTTTTTAGAGAAGTTCTCAAGTAGTCCCCTGATATCATCATCTAAGTAATAATATAATAAATATTGTTATCACCATTTGTATCTACAAAAGTTTTAAATGTATTTATCGTAACCACATATCCCATCTATTCTTTTTTTTACATAAATTTTCAGTGCATACTCAAGATTTCTAATTCTGTCCCTGTCCTTTTCAGCTTTACCAATATCATCATTGTTCCCCTTCTTGTACTTCATGGTATGTCTATTTTCATGTCTTCTTTTGATGACTAAAACTAGATTTTTTTTTTCTTGTGGGTAGTTTATCTCCTTTTTTGACGACTATCTCTACTCTAGCAATTAAGTCTTCAAGACGTGTCTTATTACACAGATAAGAGACTTGCATGTTGCAAAAAGGACAGAAGATATTGGGTTCTATGCCGGCTTTGTGGGTAAATTTCTCATGAATTGCTTGTTCAAATTTAAGATTAACTCTGGCTCTCACCTTGACTGATTCCTTATTTACTTACCTTATAGGTGCTTCGTTTATGTTCGGTCGATGTTTGACTTCAACTGTTTGGGGAATAGCAGCAGATCGTATTGGGAGGAAACCAGTTGTTGTGTTTGGCATTTTTGCGGTGTTAGTGATATTTTTCCTCCTCTATATGAAATAATAGTTGATATCTGGCACAACCTAGTTTACTCCGGTATTGCAGTTCCTTTTCTTTTTATTGGTGTTTGTCTAACTAAGTTCTTGGTATAACCAACCAGGGTCATATTTAATACGCTATTTGGGCTTAGTTTCACCTATTGGATGGCAATAGCTACAAGATTCCTTCTTGGTGCTTTAAATGGTTTACTTGGGCCAATAAAGGTACAATAAAGTTGAAACTTTCCTTTGTTGTACTTGTACCTGGTCATGTTTTTTTTTTCCTCGAATGCTTGTACCTGGTCATGTTGTTCTTGATCAATTTATATTTGTCCTTTCAGGCCTATGCAATTGAAGTTTGCCGACCTGAACATGAAGCTCTTGCATTGTCACTTGTAAAATACATGCCATACTGTTCTGTTATTAATTTTTTTCTGTTTAAATTGTGTTGATTTTGATTTTTTTTTAATATTAGGTTAGCACAGCATGGGGAATAGGTCTTATCATTGGTCCAGCTATTGGAGGCTACCTTTCACAGGTATGTCACAGAGAATTGAACAATGTTAGGGAGTTTTTTTTAACATTGTAGCTACATTTAATACGATTTCTTTTATGGCAGCCTGCAGAGAAATTTCCCAATGTCTTTTCCCCTGACTCACTGTTTGCAAGGTATTCTTTCTTGTGTGCCAACGCCCAACAAAATGTTTTTTATGATTCATCTACAGAATACTTACTTTTGTTGGAAAATTTTCAGGTTCCCATATTTCTTACCCTGCTTGTGCATATCAGTCTTTGCTGCTGTTGTTCTCATAGGCTGCATATGGATGCCAGTAAGTCAGATTCCATTATTGCTAGCTTCACAAAATATGCAATCAGTGTAATTTGTCATATATTTAGTTGTATTTGATATATTTGCACTGTGGAAGATCTTATGACATGGATCTGAAAAAAGAAATCAAAAGTTTTGCTGCATGCTTAGCAACCAAAATCAGTTACTGGTAATTATAACGGAGATAATCTGCATTTTATCCTAATGTGGTTGTTCCACTTCATCAGGAATTAATAGTCTCTTTTGTTACTTTTTGAAGTCAAATTTATATTTCCTCTCTTAAAAACTTGTGCATTAGCAGAAGTATCAATATTTAGCATGACTCATAGTGAGAAAGGATAATTCTTCGGTACCTTGTATTAATTCTTTTTGTATAGTTGTAAAGTAACTTGAAATGTATTTTAGGAGACATTACACAAGCATAAAGCTGATGCAAGTAGATCCCAAACTGTTGAAGCTTTGGAGAGCCATTTGATTGATCCAAAAGAAAAGGCTGACCAAAATGGTAGTTTGGACTGCAAGAAGAGCTTATTGAGAAATTGGCCCTTGATGTCCTCCATAATTCTCTATTGTGTCTTCTCCTTTCATGATATGGCTTATACAGAGGTATATTGTTCTTGCTATTATCTATGGATGGTTTGCTACTGCTTTGCATATAAATTGTTAGCTCATGTGGTTTACACTCAGTTAATCACTAGAAATAATATGCATTTCAGCAGACAACGTGCGATGTTCAGCATGATTTTATATCGAAATATATGCCAAAATATACAAGCTTATAATGATAATAATAAAGTGTATGATGATTACATGGGATTAATATATTATTTAGTTACAGATGATGCAATATTAAAGACTTGTGCAAGATAATTTGTACTTCAAAATGCCTTTAGCATAAAAATATTCAACTTGTATCAATCACTGGTGAATTAGGATTGGGCATTTTCTATAAGACTTGCTACAGTTATAAGTAGCTTCTACAGTTCTATTGTTTTTAGATTCACTTAATGCAGATATCTGCTAGATTTTGGAATTTGGATTACTTGTTTAAAACAAAATTTAGCCTGTGTTTCTTTTAGCTGGGCCGGCTGAAGATAAGCCAACCATAGCCTGTGTTTTTAGTACTAATTCTATTTGGGATCAACTTCAGATATTCTCTCTATGGGCAGAAAGTGACAGGAAGTACGGTGGGCTGAGTTTGTCATCTGAAGATGTGGGTCAAGTGCTTGCAATCACAGGTAGCATTTTCTTGTGCTTTTACCAGTGCTATTGATGATAGTATCCTGCAGAAAATGATGCATGTATTTTCTTGTACTTTCTTCCTAGACGACCAAATCTTGTTTGCTGATTAAAATAGAGTGCCAAGAACTGAAAAGGCTTGAGCTTAGACAAAAACCAACCAGAAACTGAATTTGAACGATTCTAAGGTTTCTAACTGAATTTCACATTCTTCCGTGTAAAAAATGCTTATATATTACTATGGAAAATTTAACTTGAGTTCTGTGGATTGGGAGTAGTCTGCTGAAAAGTGTTATTAGCCAGTGCTTGCAAGCCAGATAGAACATCCAAGTTCTATACTTCATCTAGTAATGTTTTTGTGGCTCAACTTTCTGTTATTTGTAATGGCAATTTCTTTTCAGGTGTCAGTCTTCTTGTGTATCAACTCTTCATTTATCCTCGTATCAATAAGGTTATAGGGCATATTAAGGCTTCTCGAATTGCAGCTGTGAGTAAAGAGTTTCCATTATATTGTTGGGAAGTGTATCACTTTTTTTCTGAATGTCTTACCTACTGTTCTTTATCTTGCAGATTCTGTGCATACCTATTCTCTTTGCATATCCTTATATGACATACCTATCGGGACCTGGATTAACGATCATACTGAACATTGCGTCAGTTATAAAAAATAATCTTGGTGTGAGTATATTTCCATGTCAAATTTTAGGAATCTATGTATGCGATTTTCAGGGCCGATTTGTGCAAGAAAAAGGTAGCTTTGATATTTAAGGACTGCAGTTTGCCAAGTGACAGACATTAACTCAGAAATTTTTATACGACAATAGGACAAGATAAATATGATATACATCTATTATTATTATCCAATCTGACCTTTTGTGGTGAAAATGGAGTTGATTATACAAGACAAGACAGCACATATAAAATTATTTTCTCATCTTATGTATTTGCAACTTTGATGAAAATTTATCAATGTTAATGTATAAATAGGTTCTTGTTACACTCTCTTCTAATTTATGCTATACTATGTTAGGTTACCATCATTACAGGCTGTTTCATCCTACAAAATAATGCTGTGGTATGTACCCAAGATAATGGTTAATTTCGACAACATTTTATACAAAATTGCTTCTGATTGATGATTGTAAAACTGCTTACAGCCTCAAGACCAACGAGGGGCTGCTAATGGCTTGGCAATGACAGGAATGTCCTTTTTTAAGGCAGTGGCTCCAGCAGGGGCGGGCATTGTGTGAGTATACTTTATTTAGTGTAACCATGTAAAATGTTTTATGAGTATACTTTCATTTTTAAAACTTTTGACTAGTATATTTAAAGGAAATGCGTTTGAAGCTATGAAGCTCCTAAAGTATGTTGGATTTACTAGTGCTCCCTTGCTACTGGATGTAATGGACCATGTCAAGCATCCACATGGTCTTTTCTGAAGCACTTTATAACCAACGCCAGGCATTATGTTCCATAAAAAAAGAAGAGTTTTATGCATTGTACTGTTATTGTTATAGTATGGTCCAGGAGTGTCATGATTCATGAACGACAACTTTGAATACAGTCGCATGTTATTTTAGTGAGATGGTCTATCAAATCAGCCTCTGAACTATGATACATTCCAAGAAATTTTAAAATTGCGAGACATTTTAAAAAATATAGCACTAGGAATTTTGTGGCTCCATCTCAATAAATTTCCGTTAATGCAGGTTCTCGTGGGCACAAAAACGCCAGCATGCTTCCTTCCTTCCAGGTAAATTTTGTTGTCTTGTGAAAACTTTGCATGGCATATGCCTTTGTTGTCAAAATCTGAATGGGATGATGTGTAATATTCTAAATTTCAGAATAGTACAGATCTTGTAAGAATTTATCCTTGTCTAAATTAATTTCTTCCACTCATACAGGTGATCAGATGGTGTTCTTTCTTTTGAATCTCTTCGAGTTGCTTGGACTTATCCTCACTTTCAAACCCTTTCTGGCCGTACCAGAGCAGCACGATACAAATTAGACTGTTCAGGTATACTACAGATCTAGATTCTTCAGAACTTCAGATGTTGGCAATTTCATGAGCCCTGCAGCCCGCTGTGTGAAGCAAAGGTATAACATATGCTCATCTGGATCCCCCAGGAGCAATAGATAGAAGCGAGAGTACTACTCTGTCCCAAAGAATCAAAGCTAGGGTTTGATTATTTTTGGGACGGAGGGGTAGGTGCCAGATATGCAATTGCAGCATTTCAGCGAAAGGAATATATATAGTTGGGGTAAATGGTGGCCACTGATGGCTAGGTTTTTCATGGCCAGCCAGCATGTATACCGAGTAGCATTCTACCAGTATAATGAATATAGTACTATGTACATTGTAACTAGTAAAACTCTGTAAGTGACATCAGCTTGAGAATGAAATTATTGCTGGAATCGAGATCAGTACATTGCTAATATTATTTTGTCCCTTTTTCAATTGGAAGTTCATCATTTATAATAAATCCACACGTGAGCCGTGGAGGGTGGATCCCCTACTTGGTTGGAGCTGCTCTTCTATGGTAGTTCAAAACCGATGAAGATGATGCTAAACGAGAAAACCCGTTAGTGCATGATTAATTGAATTTTAATTATTACAAACTTAAAAATAATCTTTTTATATTTTGGAGTAACTTCTATATAGCAAAAACTATATGCATTCTTAATAATCACAAAAGAAAAACGAATTTTCTAAAAAAAAAACTTTCGTAAGTTTTTTGCCCCCAAAACTTTTAGATTTGTGATCATCGGATCATCTCGAGATCTTTGCATGAAGGAAAAAAAATGTTAGAAATTTTCACACATGTCACGCGTACCATCCTAATACTAACCAATCTATAGTTGAATGCAAGATCTATATAAGTTATAGCATAGTTATAGTGCAATTATAATGTAGTTATAGTACAGGTACATGTAATTACAATGGACACAACTACACCGAGAGTGCTAGCTGGATAGTGCTAAAGAGAGACACCATTCTTTCCAAAAAAAAGCTACTAGTACACTCAATATCTATGGTTTTTTTTCTTCTTAGAGAAGTTTCTCTTAAATTACTCATCCGATTTATAATCCGATTACACCGTTGTGTTCGTAACAATTAAATCTTTACAACAAGATCTCACATGATTATATTTTGATAAAAAATCACATATTACTTTTATGATATGTCTAAATTACTTCTAGATTTCACTAAGTCACTTCTTAGACATATAAAAGTAAATTTAGTAAAGCTTAAAAGTAGTTTACATATATTATAGAAGTAACTTATAACAAAAAGAAAGTAACTTTAATTTAGAACTATATCTAGATTCATTAACATCTATATAAATGTGGGCAATACTAAAATGACTTACATTATGAAACAGGGGGAGTAACTCTCTGTAGTAGAAATAATTATATTGTGAGTGAGCTTAAATAAGAAACTATGTAGAGTGAATTCGCAAGTACAGTGTAGAGAAGATTTATAAAGTCCACAAAATATAGAATTAACTAAAAATAATAATAATAATAATCAACTTAGAGAATTATGAATGTACAGAAGTAATTTAGTCAAATATGAAAGTAACTTATATATATTATAAAAGTAACTTAGTATATAATAAAAGTAATTTATAAATATAAATATTTTTTCATCGTAATATAATCATGTAAGATCTTGTTGTGAAGATTTAATTGTAACAAACACAATAGTGTAATTGGATTGTAAATCGGATAAGTAATTTGAGAGAAAACTTTATAAGAAGGAAGAAAAAGACACACATGTCTAAGAGGAAAAACAGCGCGCACATCAGCACGTGTAGCAGTAATTCTTCTCACAATTGGATCGTCGTTGGTTAACACTAAACCGAGAGGCTTCTCGGTTTAGATTTTACCAATTACAATGCAGTTACACTTCAATTATACTATAATTATATCTAAAAGTTTTTTATTAAAAAAATTTGCGGTAATTTTTTTAGATACAATCGCTCGTATTAGGCCATGCCTCTGGTATTCCTTTGCATTTCGATCGTGTAGCCCAATACGACGGCCCAAACCCAAACTCCAATCCCAGCGGGCCCAGCAAGTCAGCCTCACATCTTCTTCTTCATCTCCCTGTCTCTGTCTCTGTCTCTAACCTAAACCCACACCTCGCGCGCCGCCGCCTTGCTCTCCTCCTCCCCGACCCCGAGTCCTCTTCGTGTGAGCTCGCACTCGCAGTCGCAGCAATGGCGATCAAGCGGACCAAGGCGGAGAAGAAGGTGGCGTACGACAAGAAGCTGTGCCAGCTTCTGGACGAGTACACCAAGGTGCTCATCGCCGTCGCCGACAACGTGGGATCCAACCAGCTGCAGGAGATCCGCAAGGGGCTCAGGGGCGACTCCATCGTCCTCATGGGGAAGAACACCCTCATCCGCCGCTGCATCAAGGTGCACGCCGACAACACCGGCAACAAGGACTTCCTCGAGCTCATGCCCCTCCTCGTCGTAAGTTCACCTTCTTCTTCCATGTTCATACCTAACCTCGAGTCCACTGTTTTTCCTGACCTGTTTTTCTTGTTGTTTGTAGGGTAACGTTGGTCTCATCTTCACCAAGGGTGACCTCAAGGAGGTCCGCGAGGAGGTCGCCAAGTACAAGGTATAATCGATAGCCAAGTACAAGGCTATCGATCTCTGTTCAATACATACACTGCAAGAACATAACAGAACAGTGTTCAATAAACTGCAAGAATAGAAAACATAACAGAATAGTGTTCAATAAACTGCATTGGGTTGAAGGGGCATAATTTGTTCTGTAAGTGAAATTGGTGGATTTAGTGTGCTATCTTAAGGTGATCATGCTGAGTTATGAAAATAATAATAGGATATGCTGGGTTACTTTGAATTTAGCTCTATGTTGTGCCATTTTATCCATATGCGTTGTATATATTCTCTGTGTGTGGTATTATTAGATGTTCTGTGAGATGTGAAAGTACAATTTTCAACCTTATGTAACTTTTCCAATGCTATTTATATCTCAAGTATTCCATTGTTTATATCATGATGTGATGCCATATATAATGATACATATAGATATAGGGTTTGATATTAGCTAGTATTGGCTATTGGGTCATGATGTTAAAAGTTGACTTGTTATGGTGTGAGTAGCTCAAGTCTCTAGCTGGTTTATGTTTTTCTTTTCACTGCAATCTTTTTCTACTACAATGTAGTTTGTACTGACTGATCTCTGTAAGAATTCTAACTAGGTCATTATGTCGTGAACTTGTGATGCTATCCAATGAGTGAATAACCATGATCTTGTTTTTGTTATAAAACAGGTTGGAGCTCCTGCTCGTGTTGGTCTGGTTGCTCCTGTTGATGTGGTTGTTCCCCCTGGAAACACTGGTCTCGATCCCTCCCAGACTTCTTTCTTCCAGGTGATCATTTGTCGATGTGTTAACATATTGTTTATCCTCAGAGTCAAATACAAGTTCTCACTGTTCTATCTTGTTACAGGTGCTTAACATCCCCACCAAGATTAACAAGGGTACTGTGGAAATTATCACCCCTGTAGAGCTCATTAAGAAGGGTGACAAGGTTGGCTCCTCTGAGTCTGCCCTGCTTGCCAAGCTTGGTATCCGCCCCTTCTCATATGGGCTGGTGATCACCAATGTGTACGACAGTGGGTCAGTCTTCAGCCCTGAGGTGCTCGACCTCACTGAAGAGGACCTGATGGAGAAGTTTGCATCTGGTGTTTCGATGGTTGCCTCAGTGTCCCTGGCAATCTCATACCCAACTATCGCAGCTGCGCCACACATGTTCCTCAATGGGTACAAGAATGTGCTCGCTGTTGCTGTGGAGACCGAATACTCATACCCACATGCTGACAAGATCAAGGAGTATTTGAAGGTAACCTAGTTTCTATTTCATAATTTCCCTTTTTGATGTCTAAATGCGTAAGAATTGTCTGAGGTAGTCTGATAATTAGATTGCGGTACTAAGCTGTAGCATGCCCATGTCTTGGCACAAACTTATTTGTTCTGGTCTTAACAATCAATCAATCAATCATTGAGAATTTCATGGTTTAGTAAGAAACTGAATTATCTATGATAGCTATTTCACTTAGTTTGATATGCCTTTAGTGCTTTTAGCACTTTCTTGAGACTGCAGTTTACTTTTCTTATTCACGATGAAGACTCAGTTAAATATTGATTACTACTGGAAGCTAAGTTAATGCTGATTTTTGAGAACTTGGGCATTTCACCACCACAGTTTCTTACATATTTGTCTTGCCTATTCTTCTCAGGACCCCAGCAAGTTTGCTGTTGCTGCCCCTGTTGCTGCTGCTGACAGTGGCGCTGCTGCTGTAGCTTCTTCCAAGGAGGAAGAGAAGAAGGAAGAGCCCGAGGAAGAATCTGACGGTGACCTGGGCATGAGCCTCTTCGACTAAAGCCTCTGATGCCATATCTTTGCCAAGTCGAAAGTTTTGTTTCAGTTCTAAACATCAAAGTCTGTCTATAATCTTTAGCATTTCAAGCTTCTGGTAGTCAAGAACTATCTAGGCCTTAGCGTGTATCCAACAATGTTATCTTTATTATGCAATTCAATTCAGTTGTGCCCGTATTCCTCTGGTGTCATGGTGTGTTTGTGCGATGATCATCTTTCTGTTCATCCTCTTGTGCAATTGTTGCTACAGACGATTTGAATTGGAATCAGGTTGATGCTCAGCTCAAGAACTATTTTGATTTAGGGAACTACCAGACTGGACTTTTCACCTTTTGGTCCTTTGTAAAAACATTATACAAATAGATCCTTAAAAAAACTTATTCTAAGAATGAATCATTTTTGCGGTGCCAATGTCATCTGCATCGTAGTCCAACTGTCCAACATGACCCGTTGAAAAGTCACTAATGTGGAGGGAGACGGTACCAATATCGTTTGTGCCAAGAACCTATTTGTTAAAAAAATAAAAAAGGATCCATTTGTAATAAAAATTTACAAATAAGTTCTCGGTGTCAATGACACTTGTGCCAAGGATCTATTTATAAATATTTTTTTATTACAAATAGGTCCTTTTTTATTACAAATAGATCTTTTAAAAATTACAAATATATTCTATTTGTAGAATGATTTTTCTAAAAAGATCGAAAGGTGAAAAATCCATACTACCAGACGACCAAAGGGCGTAGTGATAAGCCATACATCTCTGATCATTCAGTCCCTTGCAAAAATTGTCATTTAAGTTTCGTTAATGCAGGTTCTCGTGGGCACAAAAACGCTAGCATATGCTTTCTTCATTCTAGGTGAAGTTTGTTGTCTTTCTGAAAAAAATTGCACAAATTTTCCCAGTAAGATGCAGACACATGCATCAAGCTGCAGGGTTCAATCCTGAGCATCGATTTTTAGATTGGACGGCTGGTAAAGCAGCATGTGCTTGCTGCAGAACCCAATATATAAAGGGAGGCAGCCATCGGTTCAGGTTCAGTAACTGTGCTCGAGTGGGCAGTTTTGCAGCAGCAGAGCAGATCGATCAACCAAGGATAAATACCATACGACTGATACGAGCTAGCAGCTGAAAATAAACTAAGATCGACGGGACCGGAGCCAGAGGAGATCGATGGGCAGCGGCAGCGAGGAGGCGGCGCCGCTGCTGCTGCCGGTGGCGGCGGCGACGGCGACGGCGGAGGAGAGGTGCCCGGGGTGCGTGCAGGAGCGGAGGAAGGCGAGCCGCGGAGGGCGGATCCCCTACACGGAGCTCTTCTTCGTCGCCGTTACCACTCTTGCCTCATGTAATCCGTTCATTTCAGCTACTGCATTTTTTTTATATATATACTCCCTCCGTTTCACAATGTAAGTTATTCTAGCATTTTCTACATTTATATTGATGCTAATGAATATAGACATATAAATCTATAATCAATATAAATGTGGGAAATATTAGAAAGACTTAAATTATGAAAAGGAGGAAGTATAAGCAAATGATTTTACCAGCTGCATTATCCTTGCACTTCTTATTAGTAGTTCTTACATCTTCATCCGTCTCTTAAATCTCTCCTCTTTTCTACTGCATGCGCAACACTGCAATGCACCAACCATATGGTAGCTATATATTGATTACAGTTATCATCGTTGTTAATGTTTCTGTTCATGCATGTTCATCAACGTGAACACATGCATACATTGATACATAGCACTCTTTCCAGTTATAAACACTTAAATTTAAGATAAGACGTGATCAACTTTTAAAATTTTGATCAGATCATCAATAGTTTCTCAAATGCTTAATTTAAAAGAAAAAAAATAGTGTGTGTAAATTTATCTGGAAAGGTACTATTATAAAATCATAAATCTATCAAAAATTTAAAACTTATTCTAACATAAATCTAATGGTTAAAAATCAAAAAATTAACCAAGTCTTATCTTAAACATCCAATATTTATGGCATCATTTGATCATCCTTAGCCACTAGAGAGATGAAGGGGGCATCGATCATGATGAATAAACGGTACTACAAGACGGACAAAAGGCAGGTTGCAAGTTGCAAACTTGGATCTCCTACTCCTAAATAAAAGGAAATAAAAAGTAAACTAGGATGCCCTTCTGGTACTTGACAAAAAGAAAAGCATAACTAGCACCCACCAATACAACCCCAACTTGCTCTCTTCTTGACAAATCTTGATCTACATGCCAAATAAATATATACTAGTAATATATTGCCATATTGATGCATCCTAGGCTAACTATAGTATATAAGACCACATATTTACCTGTTTTGAGATATGCCAAAAACAAGTAAATATATAATGACATGGACCCAATTAACCCTATATATATATATATATATATATATATATATATATATATATATATATATATATATATATATATATATATATATAAGAGGAGAGAGAGGAGAACAAAGGAGAGGATGGAGGAAGAAGACGAGAGAAATTTTGTCCGAAAAATTTAGAATTTGCATTGAAAGGGTATGTAGTGGTACATCTTAAACACATGTTAAATTATAGTGGCGTGGTTCCAATTTCACAAACAGTAATGATATATCACAAAACAGGTAAATATATAATGGCATGATCCAATTAACCCTATATATATAGGAGTACTTGTGGAGCCGCTTGAATTGAAGCTCAAACATGCATGTAAAATTTGTTCAGGATAGCAAGTAGTATCTGTCTATCTGAGATCTGTTCCAGCACTATGCACCTATGCAATTATGTACTATCAGTATACATATCATATTAATATTGGAGATCAATAGCGTAACTAACCACAAACAGCAGCAGGAGCAAGCACATGCTTTCTTGTCGTGAATAACAGGATTCTTGTGTTTGTTCCCTTCATGCTGCAAGCTGCACATCTCGTTTCTGATTTATTGCTTCCTCTGTCCTTTAAATATTGCAGCTTTACCAATCACGTGCCTCTTCCCCTTCCTCTACTTCATGGTAAGTATGTATTCACTTCTCCATCTAATTATTTCATCATGCGTCTTGAGCTACAGTATCACCTGCGTCGCACAAAGACGTTTACCTAACTTGAAGGACACTGCTTTGCATCATTCCTAATTAATCTCTGAACCCTGGATCATTTCGAATGCATGTCCCAGTTCACACATTTCTCCCTAACCATTATACCTTACCACTTGGTTGCAACTTGGATCTCATGAGATATTCCAACTGTAGCCTTCACCGTTTTGCTTTGTATAGCTGGACTCATTGGTCCTTTGTCTAAAAGAAAAACTCATAGCCTTCCTTGAATTTCTGACACGATTTCAGTTTGTACGTCAAACCATCATCTTCAGATCTATGTAGCATATATAACGGGAGTGCCTGCCCCGTAGTTCTCTTTATCAAGATCTCTACTGGTTCATTCAAGTTGCATCTCAGTGATCCCCTTTTCGCATATTGAATACTCTGGCTTATTCAATCATCTCTGTTTTCATAGGTAAGGGACCTGCAAGTAGCACAAACAGAGGAGGACATTGGGTATTATGCTGGATTTCTTGGTAATTTTTTTTCCAAACCAATTCAAAATATTTATAAAAATGGCTACGGTGACCAGTGAGAAATGTAATTTAAACGTGTGTACGCCGGTACACCTATCCATTGATGTTTTGAAATGAAGGTGCTTCGTACATGGTTGGTAGATCCTTTGCCGCGATATTTTGGGGAGTTGTGGCAGATCGTATAGGAAGGAAACCTGTCATTGTGTTTTCAATATTGTCTGTGTAAGTCAATTCAGTCCAGCTACAACAGCATTTCTATCAGTCATTTTAGGGTAGTACTTAGATTTCCATGTGTGTACTGTAGGGTCATATTTAACACATTATTTGGGCTAAGTACAAAGTATTGGATGGCACTTACTACAAGGTTTGTTCTAGGTGCTCTAAATGGTTTACTTGCGCCAATAAAGGTAACTAAAAGTCTTTCAAGTGACAATTTCAGCATGAAGTTGTATGAAATTATTCATGTGCCTAGGAGGGAGCTTTCCTAACATAGTATTTATCAAGCATTACAGGCTTATTCTATTGAAGTTTGCCAAACTGAACATCAAGCTCTTGGACTCTCCATTGTAATGCCAAGCAATTCTCTTGTTTGCCCCCATTGTGTTCCACAATCCTTTCAATATGCACTGCTATAAAGCTGTTATGATTTACTTTGATCATAGGTTAACACAGCATGGGGTTTGGGTCTCGTTGTTGGTCCAGCTCTTGGAGGCTACCTTGCACAGGTACTAATTTCAAAATGGAAAAAGAAGAAAAGAAGCTAATATTCGGTTTCTTACATCGTTCTGCTTCCTTCTCAGCCTGTTGAAAAATATCCACATGTATTTTCTAAGGAGTCAGTTTTTGGGAGGTATGTCATACACTGATACAAGAGCAAGATATAAGCCCAGATTGCTTGCAGTCAGTGTTGTAACTACTAAATACCCATATCTAATTTCATTACATTTTGCAGATTCCCGTATCTCTTACCTTGCCTTGGTGTATCATTGTTTGCTGCTATTGTTCTGATAAGTTGTATTTGGCTTCCGGTACGTAAAGTTTCACTTAGATGCCATTTCCCCAATAATTCTTAAGCGAATTCTAGCACTAAATGCTCGTTACTTAGCCCTTTTCTATGGTCTAGTTAATTTCACAAAACAAAAAAAATATTGGATTAATTTTTTTAGAACTGTTTTTCTAGTGTTACTATTAATGTGGTTTTGTTTGAAAAATGTATCTGGCAGGAGACTATACATAAACATAAATCTCCTGATAAGGACATCAAAAGAATCAAAGAATTGCCATTACAGCAGGCTTATTGGGATTCACCTCGTAAGAAGAGCTTGTTCCAGAATCGGCCATGGATGTCTACTATGATTTCATATTGTTTTTTTGGTCTTCATGACACAGCATACAGTGAGGTAAAGAACCATGTTTTCTACGCCTTTGCTTGTTACCAGTCAGAAGGTCACGTTAATCTATCTAGATGCCACTCAGTTTATTTCTCATGCTTCAAAAATTATTATCTACATACTTGCTAAACTATTCACACACAGCTTTGATATTCACATAACTTAAGGGGTTCTAAAAAGATTAATACCATTAGCATATTTATGCTAGATATTATCCTTGTGGGCTGTGAGTGATAGAAAATATGGTGGCCTTAGCTTTTCATCTGAGGATATTGGTCAGGTTCTTGCTGTTGCAGGTATATTGCCATCTTTCCCCCAACATACATAATTTATATATATATTCTGAACTATTCATCAGACTTTAAAGATTCATGTTCTCACATAGCTGCATAAATTTGTTGTTAAATAATTGTACTTCATGTCTCTTCGTTTCAGGTGCTAGTCTTCTAGCATATCAGCTTATTATTTACCACTGGGTTCATAAGTTTCTTGGACCAATCATTTCATTACGAATTGCTTCTGTGAGTAGTCTCCTATCACGACTTCAAAAGAAATATAAATAATCATTTCATGGTCATCACTCATATTTAACTGAAATTGCAGGCTCTATCTATACTTATTCTTTCTACTTATCCTTTTATGACATACCTATCTGGCGCGGAACTTTCCTTAGCTTTTTATTCAGCGGCAATGATGAAAAGTGCTCTTGCAGTAAGCAATTTCAAAGCTCTTCCTTCAAATTTTAAGTATCTACACGTGTATCCAACCACACCATTTGTTAGCTAATAGGTACAGCAGTAATATTTCAAAAGTAATAATGTACAAAAAAGAAGATGTGTTGCACTGCAGAATGCAGATTATGAAAATCTAACTCAGTCTACAATATGACAAATTCAACTGTAACTACTTGGGGAAGACAAGCCTGGGTTATTTCATAGAGTACTATTTTCAGGGATTTAAGAGTAACAACTAAAATAGGGGCTTTATTATACTTCCATTAATATCCAAGTCTTTATCTCTAATGTTTGTTTTGTACAACGTGTGCAGATTACTATAAGCACAGGAATTTGCCTTTTACAGAACAATGCTGTGGTATGCATAAAAATCAAGTGAATGCATGTGTTCTGATACTGTGTTCACGTAAATAAGCTAAATTATTTATTGACTTTGAAATTCAATATCAGCTTCAAGAACATAGAGGCACTGCAAATGGTGTATCAACAACAGCTATGTCATTTTTCAAGGCGATTGCTCCAGTAGGGGCAGGTGTTCTGTGAGTACCACCTCTTAACACTTTTCTCATAAATACAATTAATGATCGAGACATAATGTTTCTTAAATGATTGAGATAAATGATTTAGATTTTAGTGATCAATACTCAATTTTCAATTCAGATTCTCGTGGGCGCAAAAACGTCAGGATGCCCTCTTCTTTCCAGGTGAGCTATTTATCTGAACTGCACTGCGCTATACGCCTATATCTTGCCTCGTCTTTTAATTAGCCAGGTTGGCCGAAAGAACACCCCTTCCCTCCCTTGTCTTTCAATTTGTTTGGCCTAGTAAACTACCATATCTTTCAGTCGACCATACATTACATACCCTTGTCCTATCTTATTTCGTTAACAAGGGGTTTGCCTGGACTAATTGTACTAAAAGAACATGTAATCAGGAAAAAGAAAAAGGAAAGGCTGATCCAGTTTGGCTTTCTTGAAACCTGTAGGTGATCAAGTGGTGTTCTTGATGCTGAACTTTGTGGAGCTCATTGGACTCATATTTACTTTTGAGCCTTTTATGGTGTTACCTGAGGCATCAGATGAGTGTAGTTAGCCAAGTGCAGAGGAATTGTTTCTTATCAATAATAAATTTGAAACAGTAATAATACTTAACACTTGCTAATGGGCTGAGTAATGAGGCATAGCTTAAATATGTGGCATGCTTGTCTGCTCACAGAAATGGAAGTCCTTGAATGATGAATCTGGCTGCAGTCAGCATGACATGTCCAATTTTGTCATCATGGTGTATTAGTTGCATCTTGTCACAATGATTACTTTTTAAACAGAACAACATTTTAAGGTAGTTCATGTTCTCAGATGTCAACATTTCCCCTTTTTGAGGTCACTACTCCTACTTGACTAGGCTGACAGCTTAGTAGTTGACAGTTAAGTTTAGCCTGAAGGAACTGAAGACAAGAAGAAATCAGGCGGGTAATGATGAGACTGATTGATTAGACAATGGGAGGTTAACTCATCATAATGCTTACGCACCTCTGTCAAAACTCAAAAGCCAGTCATCATCATCTTCGGATTGCATCGCCGCTGCCGGGGCCATGACGGTGTTCTGTTCAGCTTCAGCAGCCTGGACCCAGGAGCCAGCAGCAAAGCAGCTAGCTGCCTTGGCGTCGGAGCTCACCTTCAAGGAGGAGATACGGCGGGACTAACCGCGCGTAGACGTAGCGCGCTTGCTTCTCGCCGGAAACCTCCCGTCCTTCCCCCCCCCCCCCCCCTCTCCGGCTGCAGCGGCCAGCGGCGATGATTGGGTTGGGGGCAGCTCTCGCAGTGATCTAGGAGCCTTTCTCTTCCCGCGGAGAAGAGGAGCATGGTTGGGCGGGGCTCCCACGGCGATGCCGGCGGCGGGCGCCGCCGGAGGCGAGAGCGAAACGCGATGAGCCACTCAAAACAGGGGCTAAAATGCAAAAAATCAGGATCGCTACTGTTGATAGCTAGCGATCCTAAATAAATAAGGGGTAAATTGAAAATAACCCCTATCGCGATCCAAAGCAGGGGTTCTTTTGCAAAAACATCCGAGACTCACTGGATTGGGCCGCATCGCGTTGCTTGTTTTGTGGGCCTAGCTCCCGATTCGGCCCACGCTAACCTTGGGCCGCAGAGAAAGTTTATTACCAGTTCAGGCTTTCCTTCCCGCCACCGCGGGGATGCGCCGGCGATGAACCGCCGTGAACGGCGGCGAGGGAGAGGCGCGCGGTCCCATGCCCTCTTGACGAACTCGTCCATGTCAGGCGGCACGCCGGCGCGTGGCCTGACCTCCTCGGGCGTCAGAATCTGACATGAAATCCTCGCCGGGAGGGAGAGGGACGGGACGCACGCCGCTGCTCGTGGCTCGCCGCCGGCGTTGCCAAGCTAGTCTGCAGCATGCAATGCACGACTCTGCCCAGTGCACGCGTGGCTGATGCAAGCCTCAAATGCGCTGCGTTTTCAGCATCCTGATTAATATAATCAGAGATTCAGGGAGGGGGGCTTGTTCCAGTTTGGTGTTCTAGAAACCTGCAGGTGATGTTCTTGATTGCTTAATTTGGTGAAGCTCGTTGGACTCATATTGCCCAATTATTTGTCATCGTGGTGTACTAATTGCATCTCGAGACAATGATCAACATACTGACAAAACAGAAATCTAAGGTAGTACTACTGTCATCAGATATCTGTACTGTTTTTTTCTGGATTATGACTTGATGAATGACTAGGCTGACAGGTTAGTTGTCCGGACTGAAGCCTGAAGGAACCGAAGGAAAGCTAAACCAATTTTCGGGCCAAAATAAAAAAGCTAGGCGGCTGGGCTGACGATGAGAATGTTGAGCTTGATTGGTCTTCAGGCTTGTGCACCTCTGTAAAAGGCCAGTCACCATCTTCAGATTGCTTTGCATTATTGCATATTCGTGTAAGGTCACCATCTTCTGATTGCATGGTTCGCATAATCGCATGGCCCTCAAAATCGATAGGAACTTTAAGTTTCTCTCCTTGATGTAAAGGTGAGAACTGGTGAGTGGTGACCAGTGATCATGCACACACTGTCGCAGTCGCGTACTATGTATTCCTCATTCCTGAATATGGCCCAAATTAGAAGAGAATGATTGGTTTATGCAGACTGCAACTACTGCACTCTGGCTAACTTAAGAGCAAGTTTAATAGTGGAGCTGACTGTTTGCTCCAAAAGAATCCACGTCACCAAAAAAAAAAGTAAGTGAAGAGTAGATTTGTTATTGGTACTCCTGCTATCTTTGCACAACTATCAAAATTATATTTTAATTGAATGGGCAACTTTTACACTAGCAGGACGGGGTGTTTAGATCCCACCCAATCAAAATTTACACCATATCACATCGAACGTTTGAACATCTGCATAAAGTATTAAATATAGGCTAAAAAGAACTAATTACACATATTGCGACTAATTTGCGAGACGAATCTTTTAAGCCTAATTGCTCCATGATTTGACAATGTGGTGCTACAATAAACATTTGTTAATAAGTGATTAATTAGGTTTAATAAATTCGTCTCGTGGTTTACCGACGGATTATATAATTAGTTTTTTTATTAGTGCCTGAACACCCATGCGACACCCCATATAATACCCGATGTGACACACCAAAAATTTACAACCCTTAATCTAAACACCCCCGAAGGCTTGCTGGTCACTCATAGGCTGAGCATTAGTGGACCCCACAGTATGCATGGGAGCATGTGTTAGAGCAAGTATAATAGGAGGCTGTAAGACGACTAAATACTGAGGTGGAGGAGAAAAGAGAGGAGAGAGAGGAGAAGCAGGCTGTAAACTTACAGCCGACTTGGCACAAGAACCAAGAAACTCTGTGAGAGAGACAAGTGGACCCTGTATTAATTGTAAAGAGCTAACTATAATATGGGTGGGCTGAGAGAAGGCTGCAAAGAACCTTACAGCCAATAAGTCAGCTGTATTATTACCCTTGCTCTTAGAGCTAGCGATAAAATAAGTGCCCATATTTCTCTCTCTTCCATCTCAACACAAATATAACTTGTTTATTGCTACAGCCTGTTTACATAGGATTATTGTACCTACTCTAACAAGTAATCATTTGTACTACACCGTGAAACAGTGAGCAAACTGATTTTTCTGTCTCCTAGCTAGACTAACACTGGAAGCTAGATAGTACTGACAAAGAAGGAAGGAAAGAAAGAAAAGGAGAACTCTCCTAGCTAGCTTTCTACCTGGTGAGTGTTTAAAGTCTCCTTGATATTCTATACTGGAAACATTACATATGGCAGCATTGTAGACTAACAAAGTGTAAAGTACACCACCGATCCTTGGGACGTGGTGTCACTCAGTGGCAGAGCTACCACCCGGCGACAATGGGCAGCCGCCCGGGCTCATCGGCATTAAATCCATTAAAATTTCATGTAATTAGAAAATTTGAAATAGAATATATGTAGTAAATACTAGCTATAATGAAGTTTACTCGGGCTCTAAAATATTTTCTAGATCCGCTACTGGTGTCACTTAGATCCACGATATTGTCAATCTGACATGTGGGTCCATGATCCTATTTCAATGAACCATCATGGTCTAAAAGCCCATCTGACTAGGTTGACCACCGACATGGCTGTCTAGTGTGGTCGCAACTTTGCAGTTTGCTCTCTCCCCACCCGGTCAACCCACTTCTCCCCCAAATATCTTTGTTATGTATTGTTTTGATTCAGGGAACGTTGTATCGTAGCGGCAGCGACATAGTGATAGGGCTAGCGCAGTGACGAGGAGGGATGTGGGTAGGGTGGTGTCAGCACAGGAGGAGGCAGGGGGGCTTCATGAAGTGCGTCAATAGGGGAGGCCATGGCTACTCGAAGCAATGCGTCATCTTCAAGTGCTCAGAGTAAGAAGCATGATCTCCTGCTGATTCTGTGCCCTTGCTGCCGCAAGAAGAACATCGTAGAACTTACTGCAGCGACACATGCTAATTACGGTCGCGTCTCCAGCCACCATAGAGTACTGACGATCGCGAGTGCCGCCCTCAGAGTCATCGCAGCGCTACACGAGGGGTTTTGAGTGAGATGGGAGCGGTGGGCACGGGTTGGACTGAGGGGTTCAGTGGTTATTTGGGGGGAGAAGTGGGTCAACCGAGCCTGAGGAGGCAAGCTGCAAAGTTGCGGCCACGCTGGATAGCCACATCGGTGGTCAACCCAGTCATACATGCTTTGGACCTATGATTGTTTATTAAAACAAGACTATAGACCTAAATGTCGGATTTAGAAGATCGTGGACCTATGTGGTGCCACGCCCCAAATTTACTGACCGGCAATGTATTTTACTCACGAACAAATATAGGAGGTTTAGAGCTCCATTCCGTTGAAAATAACATGGACCTTGTAATAGTTGTTCTTGGGTAAATTATCACTAGACCAGTTTCAAATGGTGTAATAATCAAGTCAGTCAAAAAAGGGATAAGATCAAGGAGGAATAAGCACAGCTACTACCATAATGAAGATCCTGATAGACATCATAATGAAGATCGTGATAGACACTCTCTTCATCAGAGACAAGGAGAGGAAGGAAAGGATATAGAGACAGAGACAGAGATAGAGATAGAGATAGAGGTAAGTGTTATGATCATTGATACTGTTTTTAACCGTATGTTGACAAATATGCAAAAGAAATTAATCGCTATCTCAAATGGTTTGGAACTACAATCATCTGTGCCTGTGGTACCTAGGATTCTGAGTCAGCAAACTGTTTGTGATAGGTACACCAGAGAAATATAACAAGCGAGTGAATTTTACCGTATGAGTCTCTAAGCAGAGAATTTTGAAGCTTAGATTTTACTATAAGCTTCGAAAATAAAATTGGTGACCCTAGCTATAGTAATTAGTAACAACAAAAAGTTTTGGCCGTAAAAGTCATAGAAAAAATGTAAAGAAATTTACTCGCTCCGATCACATATATTTCACGTTTAAAACAAGATTCGGTTAAACTTTTAAAACATTAACAATCGATTTTATGTTGGAGTAAGTTTATAAATGTTTCAAGTTTATAATTTTATATGATAATGCTTTTCATACGAATTTAGTACCAATTATTTTTTTAAAAAAAACTAAGCATTTAAAAAACTACTATGCCCAAAGTTTTAGAAGTTTGATTAAACCTAGTCTTAAAGGTTAAATATTTGTTACTTCCTCCGTTACATACATACATACATACATACATACAAAATATGAAACGGAGGAAGTACTGCCTTACCGGAGGGAGTACATAATAGCATTAGGGGTGCGCATTCGGTCTAACCAAAAATTTCGGTCTCGATCTTCGGTCTTTTGATTTTTTCGGTCTTTGAAAAGTGAAGAACAAATTTCAGCGCAAAAATGTTAGGACCGACAAATTCGGTCTTTGTCTTTTCGGTCTCGGTCCTAACCGAAATTCAACAACATTTTCATATATGCAAAGAAATAATGGAAATTTTCAACACAAAAATCACAAAAAAAAAGTTCGTAAGCACTTATGAGTAAAGACTCTTATTAGGTTGCATGCCTAGAAGAAGTAGGGATGTGAAAATTAGAGTTTAATCCTATTAAACATAGTGGATTGTAGGTTGCATTTAGACATTTTTGATAATTCGGTCTATTCGGTTACCCGAGGAAACTAACCGAATTGACCGAACAAAATTCGGTCTTTTACTGCCTAGGGCCGAATTTCTCGATCTCGGTCTTTTTGATCTCGGTCTCGGTCTTTTTCTACCCACCCCTAAATAGCATGCTGCATGCGTCGAAATGGACATGGAATACATCATCCAGCTAATTAATCCCATACAAATGGATTGTTCAATCATATAATTGCTGCATGGATGAGCATATAAGTCGCATTGACGTACCTTCACTTCACTGGCACGTATATTTGTAAAATTTAAGATATGCCACCCGTATCTCAATGGCATGTAGGACCCACGTGATTGTTTGCACGGCAGAAGCAGGCAAACAATCAATCATCAGCAATTAACAGGTAGACCGTCGCGTCCATCTGCACTGCCACCTGCACGGCAGCCGGCTCGATCTTGTGCTAACAGAACAGGGCCTTTGTCCACCACGGATAGATACATCTTTGCCACTGCAGCTGCACTGCACATCGCAGTTCACACGCACGAACGAACAAGATCGTCCTTGTGTTTCTCTTCTCTGCACCCCCCCCCCCCTTGGTACTGATGTGGCACGCGTACCAAGAGACAAAACCACCAGCAGTAGCAGCCATCCATTAATACGCCTTGACCCACTCCCCTGGATGTCTCTCTCGCCACCGTTTGCATTCGCCAATCTCCACCACCACATCATCTTCTTCCTCCTCCACCTCTTACCTCGTCGTCCTGAGCGCTCCTGGTTGCAGTTGCCTTCTCCTGACAACTCCTCTTCGCCTTGGCTAAGTTAGCTAGCTCATCATCACACTCTGCATACGTGCTTGTCAACTCCATTGAGAGCGTCGCCGTTGATGGCTGAGCCGCCGGCGACCAAGGTGTACCACGATGGCTGCCCCGGCTGCGCCATGGAGCAGAGGAAGGAGGAGCACAAGGGCATTCCCTACAGGGAGTTCCTCTTCGTTGCCATCACCACCCTCGCCTCCTGTATGAATTGAACACACATATACATGCAGAGTCAACTTAGTTTGATGTTTATCATAATCTCCTCTTGGTCTTATCTTATTCTACTGGTTTTTAATTAGTAGCCTTGTCTGTCTCTCCCCTTAAATTTTCAGCTCTGCCAATCTCTTCCTTGTTCCCCTTCCTGTACTTCATGGTAAGTTTAGTTTCCATGCATTCCATCTAATTTCATGAAAAATATATTTTTTACAAAAGGTACTCGATCCATTCTCTTCTCTAGAGCAGATAAGAGACTTGCATGTTGCTCGGACAGAGGAAGATATTGGATTCTATGCTGGATTTCTTGGTATAACATTTCTGAAAAATAATTTGTCACTGAGTAACAAATTATTTTGAACACTTCTTCACAACTACGTCAAAAATGCAGTAACGTTTACATGATATATTTCTGCTGCAGGCGCATCATATATGATCGGTCGTGGTTTCGCATCGATCTTGTGGGGTATGGTGGCAGATCGTATTGGCCGTAAGCCTGTCATTATCTTTTCCATTTTTGCAGTGTAAGCACTATGGTACCTTTCCTAAAATATTGACAGGAATGTATCCATGGCATATGGCATTTACTTTGTAGTCTGTTCCATCTGCTAAACAATTTTTAACCTGTCTTTGAATCTATACTTCCAGCATTGTGCTCAATACTTTGTTTGGATTAAGTGTGAAGTACTGGATGGCTGTTACCACAAGATTTCTTCTTGGTGCTCTGAATGGATTGCTTGCACCAATAAAGGTACCTTTTTAGGAGACATTAAGATACTTTGAAATGTGAAAGAAGTTTGTTGGGGACAAATGAAGGATGTGGTGTCAATATCGATTGGTATTCTTATTCCATCAAACATTTACTCAATTATTTTTTCTATTACTTATGGCTGCAGGCGTACTCTATCGAAGTTTGCCGAGCTGAACATCAACCTTTGGGCCTATCAATTGTAAATTACAAATCTATAAATAGCAAATTGCATCTATATATACGATGTAAGAACTCTGTTTCATCCATGTCATCTAAATTTTAGGTGAGCACAGCATGGGGGATAGGTCTTGTAGTTGGCCCAGCAACTGGGGGATACCTCGCACAGGTAATATTACATTATATTATTCGGGTTCATAGATACATTTTCCTTCTTTCGTCATTGATCGATCAAAATGAATATTTATACTTGCCTCTTTCTCTTTCTTACTACCAGCCTGTCAAACAATATCCTCATATTTTTCATGAGAAGTCAATATTTGGGAGGTATTTTCTATTAAAAACCGGTTCTTCATGTTCAATGAGATAGTTTGCAATTGTGAATGTGTGATCGCAAATTATGCAGATTTCCATATCTTCTACCCTGCCTTTGTATATCACTTTTTGCTCTCTTGGTCCTCCTAAGCTGTATATGGCTACCGGTATGTATTACCTACTATTTGTTAAGCTGTATTATTAAGATTATATATTATATTTCTATCTGCAAGAATTTTGTTATGACCTATTTCTAAATAAGTCTGTCATGTTGGATGACAAAAAGAATATCCAAACTAACTGCATGATCCATGTGCCTGGTCTACCAACCCTTTTTACCTTGCACATTACTTTATCTCTGTTATCATTTTTTATGACTGCATATTTCTTTGGTCAACTAAACAGGAGACCCTACATAAGCATAAAGGCCTTGAAGTGGGAGTGGAGACAGCTGAAGCTTCTACTACTCAAGAAAGTGCAGAATCACATCAGAAAAGCTTATTCAGAAATTGGCCATTGATGTCATCTATTGTCACATATTGTGTGTTCTCCCTTCATGACACAGCATATAGTGAGGTAGTTAGTTACAGTTACTAATGTTCCCCGCAAAAAAAAAAGTTACAGTTACTAATGTGATAAGAAATTATTATTATTATTATTATTATTATTATTATTATTATTATTATTATTATTATTATTATATATTGACTGCTCAATATCTATGTAAGAATATAAATAATTATGCACACCAAATATAAAGTCTCTATATCAAATAGTTGTCATGCTTTTCTCAATAAGGATGGATATTCATATTTCTTGCTCCAAAAATAAGCTGAAATGCATTTGCTGTAATAACCGTTTCATATGTATCCATGTCAATATTTGTTTTTCTGTTTAATCATATATCTCTGTAAGTTCCATAATACCATACCTATGTATAGCAGATTAGTTCCATTTTAGTTTATAAAGTATTGATCTATTTTATGATTTTAAATAAAAGTGTGTAGTCATGAAAGAATCTATATGCTATGTGGAAATGTAATTTTCTAAACATTATGTTTTTTTAACATCAGATATTTTCTCTGTGGACTGTAAGTGATAGAAAATATGGTGGACTCAGCTTTTCATCTAAAGATGTTGGGCAAGTTCTTGCAGTGGCAGGTAAGTCAAATTCAATCAATTTCTTTCCTGCAAATTTTAAACACATTCAATTCCTTAATCACAGGATCAGGGTGTTTGCATTTAATGTTGAGCTCTAACATCTTGGTTCGGAAGATAAACATCTCCTTTGTTACATTGTAGGTGCCAGCCTTCTTGTATATCAGCTTTTTATCTACGGTTGGGTTGATAAAATTCTTGGACCTATCCACTCAACCCGCATTTCAGCGGTGAGTTACTAAATTTCAGTATTTCTTATATAATTTTTACAGTTTACTTGTTATTGGTAACTGTGAGTTTTAAAAGAAAAGAGTTCAAAATATTGCTGGTTACTACTTTGCTTTTATCAGCTGACCTTTAGCATTGCAGGCACTATCTGTACCAATTATTGCTGCTTATCCCTTTATGACACACTTATCAGGAATAAGACTTGGTGTTGCCCTCTATAGTGCAGCAATGATCAAAAGTGTTCTTGCTGTAAGTACTTTATGAACTTAGGATTTTTTTTAATAAAAAATTATAGAAGTACAAATTCTTAGGTACTTTTTAACAAACATTTTGGTTGTGCCACTCATGGAGGCATGGAAAACTAATACTGCAACACCACGAAAATTTCATAGCAAAGGTAATATTGCACAATTGTTCAGAGAGACTATGTGAAAATAAATACCAATTTTTTAGTTCAAAAGAGAGGTTGAGAAAAAAATATCCATGAGCTTACAGTTCTGAAATTTAACCCATATAAAATTAGTTAGCACTTCACTGCAAATTGCTAGATAATTTAGTTTATTTATTTTTCACATGGCATATTTGAAGATATCAAGATACTGATATTTTGTAATGTTGATCAGATAACTATAATTACGGGCACCTCTCTTCTGCAAAACAAAGCAGTGGTACTTGTCGAACTTATCTCAATCGACTGTTGTCTGATAGGCTCAAAAAGAAAAGAAATTTCTCTGATACACTAATATCAAATAAATTTAATTTTTGAAAATTGCATCGTTTTGACAGCCACAAGGGCAACGGGGTGCTGCAAATGGAATAGCCACAACAGCCATGTCCTTGTTCAAGGCTATTGCTCCGGCTGGGGCAGGAGTTATGTAAGTACAAATGTTGCTGTCTACAACTCCTAGTTATAAACAAACAACTCAACAAAGCTACTAGACTCAGTATCACTTTCCAAGATTGAACAGTAGATTTCTGGCTGACATAATTGTCAGTTTGCAATTTGCAGAAAGACTAGAGGGATTTTTTTTTGAACAAACCTACATTTAGATTTTACCAATTTCAATGAATAGAGCAGAAAAAAAAACTGTAATCATGAAAATGTTGGTGATTAGTTCGCCCTTCCCAATTTAGTGAATAGTTGTTGCCTGAAGCCTAAAGATGAACATGTCCTTACGAAACTGTAAACCCGTTTGAAGAAAGAAAAGGACTGACTGTTCAAAACCTGTGGTTGCAGATTTTCTTGGGCACAAAAGAGACAACATGTGGCATTTTTTCCAGGTAAATAACTAAATACTCCAATGAATTTTTAGGAACCATCAACTGTGTGTGACAACCATTTACTACAATACTTTAAATTAGAGCAAGTTTAATAGTATAGCCAACTAGTAAATCCAAATTATCTACAATCAATTTGATAGCCAATTCATAAAATAGTTACCTACAAGTATATACTGCACTATTAATATTTGGTCCCACCTGTCATACACACAGGAGTCCGTGTTGCAGCCCGCTTCTCTTCTCTCTTTCCTCTTTTATCTCCTCCACATGTGTTTATAGCTGGTTTATAGTCTGCTATTGTACCTGCTCTTAGGTATGTATAAATCGGTGCTTTGTAATGTTTATTTGATCATATAAATTGTAAATTCAACGTTGTGCAGGTGACCAGATGGTATTTCTTCTACTGAATCTGACCGAGGTCATTGGGCTCATGTTAACCTTCAAACCTTTCTTGGCTGTTCCTCAACAATATAAATAGAACATTCAGATACTGCTAGCTGGTGTGACAAAGATCATAAAGATGTAGTTACAGTGAGTAATAAGTATGGCTTGGTATTAAAAGATGGTTTAGATGTGGTTATAGCATAATGGTAGGATCATGCAGCATTCCAGTGCAGAGTCTCTGTTGGATTTTGTTCTGCTTTGGGCTTATGAGCAAGATAACCTTGTATATTGCAGTGTTGAATTTGAATAACTGCTCTTCTAGCTGTGGAGTACTAGTGAGGTGAGGTTTGGCCATTGGAACTGATTAATCAAAACTACCAACCATCCAATCAAATCAAGCACAAGAAAACATGTAGGACTAAAAATCAGTTGAGTGCTATTCGCGACACAGAAAATGGGATGAATAGCTCGTACCAGGCAGAGGGCAGGATGAATTCGGGTGCAGAGGCGATGGGGAGTAGCTGCTAATCGGATCTCTCAGCAGAGATCAATCTCTATCTCCGTAACGCCGCCGCCTCCGCCATCGCCAAGGGCACCACGAATCGGGGCGCGGAGCACTGAGGAGCCACTGGCCTCCGCCCTCCTCGAGCGGCTGCCCTCGTTCGCTCGATGAGCCGTATGTATCCGTACACCACCTCCGTCGTCTCCCGGCGCGGCACGGCAGCCACGGCCCCGTTTCATTTGGGGAAGACGAGCGGCCAACCGCCGTCATATTTACTAGTAGGTCGAGAAAACGGACGATATGCCGGATGAAATGCCACTTAATACCATGCACAGGATAAAATACTACTCAATATATTATCTACCGGATGAAAATTGAAATGCCACTTTGAAGATTTTTATGCCCAAAATATCCATGGAGAGAGAGGGAGAGGGGAGTGCCGGCCGGGCGACGCCGGAGGCCTTCCCGGGTGGCAGCGATGGAGGCGGCCAGCATTGACGACGGGGAGAGGAGGACGGGGCGGCGACGACGGGGGAGGAGGATAGGCCTTGCCGAGCGGTGGCCGGCGTGGACGACAGGGGAGGGAGGAGAGGCGATGACGTGTGGAAGGAGGACGGGCAGCGAGCACGCCTACCCGCACGTTCGTCGGGAGGTGGCAGCAGCGGGGAGCAGGGGGAGGAGGAGGCGACGCGGAGGGAGGAGGATGGCGAGGCGAGCAGCATCGCCCGAGCGACAACGGGGACGACGGTCTGAGGCTCCAGGGCCGGCCCTGGCCCTATGCAGCCGAGGCGACCACCGGGGGCCCATGATGGTGGGGGGCCAACTCTGAAAATTTAAAATCCTTCGATGAAGTAGATCTTTGGTCGCACTGCAAGATTTTTGCGAAAACATTTAGGGCCCCTTTGAATCAAAGGATTCATGTAGGAATTTCATAGAATTCAAATCCTATAGAAAAATATCCTATTTGGCCCTTTGATTCAAATGATTGAAGCTCTCCAAATCCTATGAAATTCCTATGGAATGGCACATTACATGTGAATTTTGGAGGAAATTTAGCAAGAGCTCCAACCTCTTGGAAAATTTCCTTTGAGTCTATCTCTCTCATCCGATTCCTATGTTTTTCCTGCGCTCCAATCAAACGACCATTCCTGTTTTTTTTCATGTGTTTTGCAATCCTCTGTTTTACACTTCAATTCCTGCCAGAATCCTGTGTTTTTCCTATTCCTCTGTTTTTTCTACCTTGCAATTCAAAGGGGCCCTTACTCATGAGAACTCATCCAATGTTTAGATCAATGATTTTTATTCAGAATCTTCGATGTCCGCGCCTGAGATTCTGAAGTCTGTTATGGATACAGATTGCTATCTAAATGTTTCAGTTGCCTATCGAATTCTCTTAACTGTACCTATGACGGTAGCTTCAGCTGAAAAAAGTTTATCAAAATTGAGGTTGTTGAAGAACTATTTGAGATCAACTATGTCGCAAGAAAGGTTAAATGGCTTGGTTATGTGCTCTATTGAGAATGATATCTTGGACACTATTGATCTTAATACCGTTCTTGATAATTTTGCATCAAGAAATATCCAAAGAAGTATCTTTTCATAAGAAGCAATGAATATGATGGGGTTCTATTTTTCACTAAGGTAATGATATTAGTTCTAAGGTATTATTTTGGTCGACTTTATTTCTCAATAATTACCAGTCATGTTAAATTTAATATATGGATGTATTTATTTTCGTTTTGCAAGTAAAATTAGCGTTTATATATATCACAAAATTTTTTATATAGTTTAGAGGGCCCATCACGATAAGTTCGCCTAGGGCACTCAAAATCATAGGACCGGCCCTGTGAGGCTCCACTGCAGTCGCCTCTTCTTCCGCCCTGTCCTCCTCCCCCGTCGTCCCCGCCAGCCGTCGCCGTTGCCTGGCGAGGCCTCCGGCACCCTCCGGCCAGCCCTCCCCTCTCCCTCTCTCTCCAAGGACATTTTGGGCATAAAAATCTCCAATGTGGCATTTCCCTCTCCCTCTCTCTCCAGGGATATTTTGGGCATAAAAATCTCCAATGTGGTATTTCATCCGGTAAATGTATTGAGTGGCAGTCAGGGGCGGATCCACTATATAGGCAGTGGGGTCCTAGGACCCCAGTCAAATTTTAACTCGCAAATATACCCTTTAGATGTATGACATATGGGTCTCCACTATACCCGGGAAAAAGGACCCCCGCTCTCATAATTTCAGTTCATTTTCTCACTTGTGCATCGGTGACAACCTTTTCTGTGGACATGATGAATCAAAATAGTCTAAAACAATATATACATGGAGTATACTATGAAGTAAAATGGTGTGTATGTTCTAAACCTTGGATAACTCTCATATAGATGCCCCCAGTCCATTTTTGTCTTGCGTCCGCCCCTGGTGGCAGTTTATCCGGTGCATTATATTGAGTGTCATTTCATCCGAACCCAAGCTAGAGAGTGACATATTATCCATTTTCTCTATTTAGGTCCGTTTGTTTTAGTAATCTAGATTATTGAGTCATTACTACTTCCGCTTTACATTATGGAGTAGTAGTATAAGCTACTCTCTCCATTTTATATTATAAATTATTTTGATTTTTTTTAGTCAATCTTGGTTAAGTTTGATTAAGTTTATAAAAAAAGTAACATTTTAAACATTAAATTAGTTTCATTGAATATATTTCCATAATATATTTGTTTTGTATTAAAATTACTACTATATTTGTCTATAAACTTAGTCAAACGTAAAAAAGTTTGACTAGAAAAAAAGTCAAAACGATTTAGGGTAGTCCCAACCCATAGTGTCCATAAGCAGTATTTATGGTGCCATGTCAATAAGACATCATAATAGAAACTACACTCCACAACCCATGATTTCTTAAAGTGAGCCATTAATAAATACATCATCTCTCTTCTCTACCAATCATATTTATTCTTCATCTATTATGAAGATATTATTCTCTCCCGATGTAAAACTTGATAATGTCTAGTGCATAGGTTCTCGTGTTGAAGTTGGATCTTGCATGAGACCCAGTTTCTTCCTCTCTCCTCTCTCTCTTAATTAATATAGTGCCACATAAGGTAAAAGTCCTACATAACAATGTAGTTAATGCCATAGAAACCATCCTAGGTGGAGGGTTGGGACTGCCCTAATATAATACGAAACATAAGAAGTATTTGTTTCTCTCTAGATTATTGGAGACACAAAATACTAGGTTTGAAAGATTAAAGTCTATAAAGCCCTTAGCTGTTTTGTTCGCCTAAACAGCGACGCCCGTCTGAGTGCTGCCATGATTCGCTAGGTCTCTCTAACTCTCGATCTGTTCTGGAGTAGGGGCGATAAGAGCTAAGAGGTACAAATGATAGAAGTGAGTACTTTCTTTGAAGTATGTAGGGGCCGTGGGTTTTTAGCCACCCAAGAATAAAAAAAGAACATATTTTTGGAGGAGATTACTAGATTATACTAATTTGAATAATATGATTATAATAATCTACTTCCTCCGTATTTTAATGTATGACGCCGTTGACTTTTTAACCAACGTTTGACCATTCGTTTTTTTTTAATTTTTTTTATGCAAATATAAAAATACTTATGTCATGCTTAAAGAATATTTGATGATAAATGAAGTCATAATAAAATAAATGATAATTACATAAATTTTTTTGAATAAGACGAAATGTCAAACATTTATCAAAAAGTCAACGGCGTCATACATTAAAATACGGATTAAAATACGGAGGGAGTATTAATTTTGTTTCAAATTACTTCTAATAATCTTAATCTGATTGCAATTGCGTGGCCGTTGCTGACATGGATTGTAGGCTTGTAGCGGGTCAACACACAGTTGGCCCAGAACACATTTACCCCTCTGTCTAGGCCCATATCTTTGCCTGTTTAATGTCACGGCCTCTACCCTAGTCGTCGTCGTCGTCGTCTTCTTTTTACATGGATATCCCTGTTCTTTTTATAGCACTAAAAGTTAGCGTACAGTTCAACTAAATAATTGACCATTTACAAAAAAAAAACTAAACAATTGACCCAAAACAAGGTTCAAATCAAGAATCACATGTACAGTTTTTTTAATGAAGATATCATGTCTGTCGTCCTAAGGCCTTCGGTGGGTTAGGAATTCCTAACCTTAGGTTGGCAGGGTTCGCCTTGCGCGTTCGCTGGCTTTGGCTTCAGCGTTCCGGGCATCCCTATTGGGATGGCTTGAAGGCCCCGGTCGAGCAGTCTGTCTCTGACATGTTCGAGGCGTCCACCTTCTTCGTGCCGGGGGATGGTGAATCTATGCTCTTCTGGACTGACTATTGGATTGATGGAGGCCGCTCAGTGGCCTCCTTGGCTCCTGACCTCCTCTTCGTTGTGCCACAGCACCTCCGTTCGCGCACGGTTGCTTCTGGCCTGGCGAACAACTCCTGGGTTTCGGACATCCGCGGGGCCCTCACTGTCCCTGTCATCTCCCAGTTTCTTCTTATATGGGATGCTGCACTTCGAATTCAGCTCTCGCCGGGTGTCAGAGACCGTCTTGTTTGGCGTTGGACGAGCGACCAGCGCTACTCTGCGCGTTCAGCGTACCAGGCCTTCTTTTTTGGCTAGCACTCCTTTGCCTGTGCCGATCTTCTCTGGCACGCGAAGGGCCCTGCTAAATGCAAGTTCTTTCTCTGGTTTGCATTTCAGCAGCGCTGCTGGACGGCCGACCTCCTCCTAAAGCGCGGCTTGGATAGTCATTCGGCCTGCCCTTTCTACGGTCAAGAGCTTGAGACTGCGAACCACATCCTCCTCGATTGCGTGTTCACGCGGCAAGTTTG